ATTACAATGTGCACTGTGCCTCTGCATCCTGAGTTTCCTCCCATCTTCTGACTGGGACAGAGGAACTCCGAGATCTCCATTCTGACTGTATCTGACAAAGAGACCTTTGACTGTAGCTTATACCCTGAAAATCTTGTTGGTTTCTAAAGTGCTGCTGGACCCTTACCTAGCTGTTCCAGCGTAGTAGCTGTGCTAGTCTATTGCAGCAAAATTAACAGGAGTCCAGTGGCCCCTTAAACACTAACAAAATTTCATTCCACCTTAAGCTTCCAAGGATTATAACCCACTTCTTCGGATGCTGAGTGGCTTCTGTTATGTATATGTTATGTTTATATGTAGGGGCATGAAAACAACTAGGGACACCCACTTGAATGCGGAGTGCTGCAGGGGGCGATCCGCTCTCCAATACTGTTCGACATCGATATGCGCCCCGTCGCCCAGTTGGACCAGGGGTTTGGGCCAGGTTGCCATCAGGATGCCGATGGCACCCAGTTTTATCTGTTGATGGATGGATGGATGGATGGATGGATGGATGGATGGACAGACGGGCGGACGGACTCTGCCCCAAATATCTTGGACAGGACATTAGAAGACACTGCAGGGGGCCAGCAAGAGGCCAGTTAGATAGGATAATGAGGGCAGCACCTTTTCTCCTGTTAAATGTCTCCAGACTGCTGCTCTTAGGGCAATATCCTGATTCTTCTTGGAAGTCCCCCTCCCCTCTCTGTCTCTCTCACTCTCAGCTAATGATGTGGTTAGGACCTCGCCTCTGTCTCTTCACGATCAAGTATGTTAGTTCCTGAATAAAGCTTCATCTACACTTTAATCAGACCGTGCACCTTTGCTGAGCTAATTACTCTGCCAATAGTTTTTTGCATGCCACCATTGATTAAATGTTTGTTTCGTGTTTCCTAGGTGCGTCTCAGACAGGCAGCGATCATTTGCTCTGGGAATCCAGTGGATTGTAGTGAGGACGCTAGGTAATGTACACAGTCGGTAACTAACAGCCTGCTTTTTTCTCTACATACATACAGTGAGTGACGCTATCGCTCTTTTAAAACTGTTGATCCATGTTGCTTCGAGGTGAGTTCTAGACAGCCGCAGCAATGCAAAGAAAAATGTGTTGGGTCCATAGGGACCAACTTGGTGTCTTGTGGCTGGGAGTGTTTTTGTTAAGCATCATTGGGCTCTAAACAAATGCTGGAACCACTCGATTGAGCACGGCTTTCAGAGTCCCTGATTCAGCTGAATGGATGTTTGCATGTGGCACTGGTGTAGGCGATATATTATACTATATTTGATTTGATACACACACACACACACACACACACACTAGGAATAAGGCCTGTTGTGGAAATAAATACGAGATCTAGAAAGAGGCTCTGGGAGAGTGCCCCGGCCTTGGGCACTCAGTGTCAATTTGCTGTGGCGACCTCAGCAGGGTATGACACCAAGTCCACCATTTTCTCCAGAGGAACTGATCTCTGCTACCTGCAGAACAGTTATAATTTTGAGTGATCTCCAGCCCTCACCTGGAGATTGGCAACAGTGGTTCCCCATGACAGAATGGCTGGTTTGGAGGGTGGAGTCTATGGCATTGTACCTGTCTGAGGTCCCACCCCTCCTGAAACCTCACCCTCTCCAGGCTCCATCCCTCAAATCTCCAAGAATTTCCCACCTGAAGTTGGCAACCCTATCTCCTTCCCAGCCAATCATCAACCTACCTTTATTTCCCACTCACTCTTCAGCTTTCCACCACCACCCTCACCTGCTGCCTCTACCGTGCTCTGAAACCCTGATTGCTACGTCACATTGGCTGTCATACAGGGGCCATCTCAGGAGGATATAAGGACACAGAGTCCACCATTTTCTCCAGGGGGATCTCTGCCATCTGGAAAGCAGTTGTAATTTTGAGTGGTCTCCAGCCCTCACCTGGAGATTGGCAACAGTGGTTCCTCATGACAGAATGGCTGGTTTGGAGGGCGGATGATAACGAAATTGTTCAGGGTGGTGAAAACCAGTGAGGATTGTGAGGCACTCCAAAGGGATCTGTCAAGGATGGGCGAGTGGGCGTCAACATGGCAAATGGGGTTCAATGTGGCCAAGTGCAAGGTGATGCACATTGGAGCCAAAAATCCTAAATATAAATACACATTGATGGGGTCTGAACTGGCAGAGACTGAGCAAGAGAGAGATCTTGGAGTTGTAGTAGATAACTCACTGAAAATGTCGAGACAGTGTGTGACTGCAATAAAAAAAGCCAATGTTATGCTGGGGATTATTAGGAAGGGTATTGAAAACAGATCAGCCAATATAATAATGCCCCTATATAAATCAATGGTGAGACCTCATTTGGAATACTGTGTGCAATTCTGGTCACCACACCTTAAAAAGGATATTATAGCTTTGGAAAAAGTGCAGAAAAGGGCAACTCGAATGATAAAAGGGTTGGAACACTTTCCCTATGAGGAAAGGTTAAAGCGCTTAGGGCTCTTTAGCTTGGAGAAAAGACGACTGAGGGGTGACATGATCGAGGTTTATAAGATTATGCATGGGAAAGAGCAGGTAAAGAAAGAGGTACTTTTCTCCCTTTCTCACAATACAAGAACCCGTGGGCACTCCATGAAATTGCTGAGCGGTCGGGTTAGAACGGATAAAAGGAAGTACTTCTTCACCCAAAGAGTGATTAACACATGGAATTCACTGCCACAGGAAGTGGTGGGTGCTACAAGCATGGACGGCTTCAAAAGGGAATTAGATAAGCATATGGAGCAGAGGTCCATCAGTGGCTATTAGCCACAAGGTATAGATAGGGACTCTGGGGCAAGTGATGCTCTGTCATCTTGGTGCTTGGGGGGGTCAACAGTGGGAGGGCTTCTAATGTCCTGGCCCCACTGGTGGACCTCCTGATGGCACTGGTATTTCTGGCCACTGTGTGATACAGAGTGTTGAACTGGATGGGCCTTTGGCCTGATCCAACATTGGCATCTCTTATGTTCTTATGTCATTGTACCTGTCTGAGGTCCCACCCCTCCTGAAACCTCACCCTCTCCAGGCTCCATCCCTCAAATCTCCAGGAATTTCCCACCTGGCGTTGGCAATGCTATTTCCTTCCCAGCCAATCATCGATCATGAGCAGTTCTTGAAAGAGAGCTCTCTCAGCCCCACCTACCTCACAGGGTTTCTGTTTTAGGGAGGGGAAGGGAAAGGAGATTGTAAGCCGCTTTGAGACTCATTCAGGTAGTGAAAGGCAGGGTATAAATCCAGTCTCTTCTACTTCTTTTTCTGTTTTGAAAAAAAAACTAATGTCACTGAAGAACCTCTAACGATTGGGTTAGTCAGATATAATTACTTGGAGCTGAGATTCTCTGCATTACTAGTGTAGCTGTTGCATTTCATGGTATTTGAACTTTAAACTGCTGAGCAGAGATTGCTGTGTTGGGTTAAATAATGGAAACTTCCATTCACCCTAAGAATACAAATTATGCTGTTATCCAAGGGAGTGTGCTTGTCTTAATATAAAACATTGACCTTGGAACAGGTAAACGAAAAGATATTATCACCAAAGTGGGCATTGTCTGATTCTTCCTAAGTAATAATTTTTGGTTAATGGTTGAAGCTGGCTGGCCCACTAGCCAATGGCTGATGTTTTCAGAGCTCCAACGAATACAATGGAAAATGTCCCACTGAGTTTCTTGGGTGGGAAGCTGTTAGCATGAAATAAATTTTTGGCGGCTGACGTGTCTCCATTCTGTCTTTACACAGGCGGCATTCCAGGCCCAATTGCTTTTGGGTCGATGATTGACAAGTCATGTCTCCTCTGGCAGAACCAGTGTGGCGAACAAGGGTCATGCTACGTCTACCAGAACTTTGCCATGAGCCGGTACACCTTGATTGCTGGTCTTATTTACAAGGTAATGCCAAGTGATTGTGCGCTTGCTTCAGTGGTCTTTTGCTGAGGTATTTTGTGGCCGTTCCACCCTCCTTTCTTAAGATACATACCATGTGGATGCATGGACAGGGCAAGCCAATCTCCACCCGTGGGGGGCACCAAAGGCCAAATTAGGACCTGCTTCTCACTGAGGTGATCACCTGGCCTCTAGATGACTGTACCACTTCAAGTTGTAGCGAGGGCTTATGCAACCAAAGGTTCCTCAGTACAAAGTATTTCATCTGTAGAAAATTAGATGGGTTCTTACTTTGCTTTCTACCTGTTTTTTCTGTGTTCAGGGAATTTGTTTTTTGAATGGATGAGCATTTAATCATGCGAGTCCCCTACCTATATCCTGAAGTGGTACAGTTACAATTTTACACTCTTGGGCTGTGGTCACCAGGGCTATTTTTGGGCAGGAACGCACAGGAACGGAGTTCCGGCTGGCTCCCAAGTTGGTCATGCCCAGCAGGAACTCATTAGCATAATAGGCCACACCCAACAGCAGGAACGCATTAGGATTGGCTACATTAGGGGTGTGTGGCCTAACATGCAAAGGAGTTCCTGCTACAAAAAAAGGCCCTGGGTTTTGGCAACAAACAAGGTAAACAGAATAAGAAGCAAAAGTTGGGTGTGGCTGGATAATCACACTTCTGGTAACATGGGGGTGCGGCCCAATGTGCTAATGAGCTGTGCTGTCGGGGGTGTGGCCCAATATGCTAATGAGTTCCTGCTGTTGGATGTGACCTATTATGCTAATGAGTTCCTGCTGGGCTTTTTCTACAAAAAGAGCCCTGGTGGTCACACACACTAAATAATCAACTTTCAGTCCACTTTCAGTGCACTTCCCAACTGGATCTTACTGTGTGAACTGGCAAAGTCCAGTTGGAAAGTGCACTGAAAGTGGATTGTTCAGTGTGTGTGACCGTAGCCTTAGTCAGATATGGGCCAAGTCCTGCACTCCCTTCAGAGAACGGGATAGCACTACATTTTGATGTTTGGCCGCATGAAGGACAAGTTGGTTTTTAGTACTGTTCATTGGAAAAAATGGGGGACTTGATACTAACCTACTAAAAGATGTGCTGCATTGTGAAATTAAGAATGTAAGAATTTCTCCCTCTGGATCCAACCAAAGTAGTTAGAACAGTGACAGGTTAGACGCTTTGAAGAGGCTCACAGGCAGCTTATGAAGCTGGTAGCCAGTGGGACCCACTGCTTTTCGTCCAGCATAAGAACACAAGTAGAGCGATGTGGTGTGGTGGCTCAAGTGGTTAAGGCGCTGCAGATCAGAAGGTCAGTAGTTCAGCAGTTCGAGACCCGAATGCCGCATGACGGAGTGAGCTCCCGTCTCTGGTCCCAGCTCCTGCCAACCTAGCAGTTCGAAAGCAAGAAATTGCAAGTAGATAAATAGGTACCGCTTTGGTGGGAAGGTAACAGCGTTCCTTGTGTCTTGGCATCTAGTCAAGCCGGCTACATGACCACGGAAATGTCTTTGGACAGCACTGGCTCTTTGGCTTGGAAACGGAGATGAGCACCACATCCCTAGAGTTGGATTCGACTGGCTTTTGAGCAAGGGAAACCTTTACGTTTACCTAGAGCGATGATGGATCAGGCCCAAGGCCCATCAAGTCCAGCTAGGCTTCCCAAGTCCCCCCGGGGGACGGGGAAACCCCCGCCCCAGAGACCCGTTCCCCGCCGCTGGCGGATCGGGCCCTGGGGGGAGCCCCACCCCGACATGCGCATCACCCGGAAGTGACATGATGCTGCTGGGCACGCTGGGGGCGGGGCCACGGTCATCCGAGGGAAAACTCTATGGTCCCCCGCTGCGGCGCGACACTGGACTTGGCAACCCTAAGTCCAGCGCTGGCCAATCAGCTACTTCTAAGAAGCCCACAAACAGGAAGACTGCAACAGCATCATCATGTTACGCAGCAACTGATTTAAGGAGGCATACTTCCTCTGATCTTGGAGGGAGTAGATGTCCATCGTAGCTAGTAGTCATTGATAACCCTGTCCTCCATGAAGTTGTCCACTCCCCTTTTAAAGCCTTCCAAGTTGGTGGTCATAACTGCATCCTGTGGCTGTGAGTTCCAGAAACTAACATTCAGCTGTGTGAAGAAATACTTCCTTTGTCCGGCCTGAATCTCCCAGCCTTCAGCTTCAGAGGACGACCCCAGGTTCTAGTATTATGGGAGAGCGAGAAAATCTTCTCCTTGTCCACTGTCTCCACACCATGCATCGTTTCATCGACCTCTGTCATGTCTCCCCTTACTCGCCTTTTTTCTAGGCTAAATAGCCCCGAGCGTTTTAACCAGTCCTCACAGGGCAGCTGGTCTTGCCCACTGTTTGCTTTGGTTGCTCTTTTCGGCACCTTTTCAAGCTCTACAATATCCTGTGTTGAGCCTGTGGTACTGAGAAGTCTGCTTCCTCTAAACTAAGCTAGTAGCAATGAACATGGAGATGGATACAGCCTCAGTAAACTCGAACAGCCAAGAGTTTTGGTGATGCCGGTCCCAGAAGAATGGGATTGGATTGGAAAGCCCTGCTGTGGCAGAAGTTTCAGGAGGCCTAAGTATCTACAGGGAAGCCAGACAGAAACGGGGGAATAGGTAGGAATGCTGGGGAGTGCGGATACTTGGGAGATACGCAGTCAGACAGGGAAATCAAATAGTCTGTTGCCTAGATGATAGTTCAAACCTGAGGAGGAGAGATTGGATTTATATCCCACCCGTCCCTACCCGAAGAAGTCTCAGAGCATCTTATGATCTCCTTTCCCTTCCCCTCCCCACAACAGACACCCTGCGAGGTAGGTGGGGCTGAGAGAGCTCTTTCCAGAACTGTCCTTGAGAGAACAGCTCTGAGAGAACTTGTGACTGACCCAAGGTCACCCCAGCAGCTGCATGTGGAGGAGTGTGGAATCAAACCCAGTTCTCCCAGGTTAGAGTCCATGCTCCACTACACCAAACTGGCATTTATAACTAGGCTGGGGGAACCAATGGTCATCCTGGGTGGGAAAGGTTGCCAGGCAGTGCCTGGCAACCAGCAAGAGGTTTGTGGAGGGGGAGAAAAATTAACAAGAAAAATAAGGCCTTATCTACTTACAGGAAGTTTTTACCATAGAGTTTGTTTTATTTATTTATCAAATGTATATCCCTCTCCCCCGAATGGGACTCGAGGTGGCTAACCGCATATAAAATACCCCCAATTAAAAACAATACAAAGATTCAATAAATAATCGTTAAAGTTCCTGGCAATTCCTAGAGCTCCTCGGAAGGGACAAAGGGTCGCTCTAGGAATCACTGGGAACTCTGTGGAAAAACTGGAAGCTCTTCCAGCAGTGGCAGGCTATGGGACCTGGGAGTGGGGAATGCCCCGCCCACAACGGGGGCTTGGCTGCCCAAGAGGGTCGAGTTCTAGAGATTATACAATAGCACCAATCTGCTCTTTGACATTTCCATTGTTTCACTAGAAGGGTCAACAAATCACCGGTGACTTATTTTTGCACAGTTCTGAGGGAGACAGGACAAGCCATTGCCATCTCTCAGACGCTCACAAACTCATGTTTTCTAATCTTGCAGGTGATCGGATCGTTCTTCTTCCTCCTTGCCTGTTTCCTCTACAAGCCACCTCCGCCAGAATCCCTCCCGGGTAGCTCCGACACCTCCGAAAACGGCAACTGTGACCTCAGAGAGAACAAATGTCCTCTTCAATCTCAAGATAACGTATAGCACTGTGGTTACGACAAAGTGACTTTCCACACAATCTCAAAGAGACTGTGTCCGAAAAGAATGTCATTTGTTATTAATTATTGATATTATTTTAAGCTTTCTTTTTTTTTTCCCTCTTCCCCCATTTTGGGGAAGAATAATTTAATGAAGTTCCTGTCTCAGTTAGTATTTTATGAACAGCAAAAAGCACACACCGCAAATCCCGTGCACTCATCCTTCCACCTCCGAATTAGGGTGTCACCAGATCTTTGGGACGTCTCCCCCAGTGAGGTGGCTTGGAGGCGCACGGAGCTCAGAGAACTTGATGCTGCAACCTTGGATTTTTCTTTCCCCTCGTGGGCGCCGCCATTTTGAATCGGGGTGCCGTCGAGATATGTACTTCCTGCTCGGTCGAAGCAAGAGATCCTCATTGTATGAGGTGTTCCGAGCTTGCGTTTCGACACCTTCGTTGTGAGTCCGCAGACCTTTGTGATACTGAGTTTTTAACTGACATCCCAGTGTTAATTTAACTTATTTAAAGAAGGGCTAAACATAGCTTCAGACCATTCCTGTATCAAAGCACTTAAGAAAGCTGCACGTGGAGAGCCGCCTATGGGTGCTAGGTTCCTTACTGGGGTGTGTGTGGAATTGACGGGTCCACAGTAGGGTCCACAGTGGCTCCCAGGAAGAAAGTTCTGAAGTCTTAAATCCTCTGCCTGTTGGTACGTCACTTGACAGCTGCAACATTGTGGTGCCTCGAACGCACAACTCAGCCATAAAGTACAGGTATAGCTCTTTCATATCGCCTCACAGAACCTCAGACTCAATAACTTCCAGTGGAAGCATTCTCATGTTCAGCTGTGACTCGTGGAGTGATGTCATCAAACAGGGAGGCCTGGACTGATACATGTGTGAATCAGCCAAAGACCGCAGGCAGGCTTCAAGCCCAGACACCTCTTGACCAATGTTCCCTCTAAGCTGTGGAGTCTTGTGAGCGAAAATTCTACTTTGTGAGCTACTGGCATTAAAGTTGTGAGCGAGCGATTTGGCTCCTGCATCAATTAGTTTGCTCTGGAGCCATCCTTCCTGAGCTAGGACAAAAAATTGTGAGCTGGAGGCTAAAAAACTGTGAGCTAGCTCACACTAACTCAGCTTAGAGGGAACACTGCTCTTGACCCTCTTTTGCTGACCTCTTCCGTCTCTTTGTTTGTGATGTGGCTCCGTTAGTCCTTGTTCAGACAGTAGCTTCCTGCCCTGTCCCATGTATTCAGAAGCACAGGAAGTTCTCCATGAAAAACAGGTCCTCAGAATTGCTTTTTTTTTTTTTTTTACAAAAAGTTCTGTATTGCGGG